TCATTCATGAATATTTGTCAGCTTTTTTTTTATCCCTAAATGAAAATTCATCTTTCTCCATGTATTGTAAATTTTTAGTGAGAATTTCTTAATATTCTATTTTATTTTCTAGCTTCTTCTGTTTCTTTTCTCACCAGGGATATACATTCATATTTGAAATCCGAAATGAAATTTTACTTTTGTTAACAGTAAAAAAAGTGTTCTTTTATCGAAAAAGCAACCCGGTGAAAATTTATCCACTACATCATTCCCTGTGACATTAAATTTCTTGTGTTATTAGAAGTGACATTAAATTTCTTGTGTTATTAGAAGTTAAATCTAGTTGAAATATCAAAGAAAATAATTAAAAATAAACAAAAGTGTTGACAAATAGATAATAAATCCTTCCTTAATTTTAAAACACAACAAAAACTGCGATTCACTATATATAATGAGATGAAATAACTATATTAAATAAGAGTAATGAATCATAGTACAAATAAATGAATACAACAAGAAAATGAATAAAAAAAAAAAAGTTTACTGACGAAAGAATTAATGAAAAAGATGACACAAGAAAACAAATTGGCTCTTTATAAATCGAAATTTATGAAGACAAATACACATTTAGATGAAATTTTCAGATTTTCTGACATTAAAAAAATCATTGCAGTTAATACTTTTAAAAAGAAATGGCGATTGTAAATCTGTTTGGAGTTTTCCGGATTTTCTCTCCCACAAGCCACATATTCGGGGAAATTATCCTTCATTCATCATCCACAGGTGTGCTATTTGTGGCATACAAAAGTGGAACATGAGACTCACCGATTTTCAACAACAAAGAAATATCTTAGTATAAAAATTTGATATTGAACAATTAAATATTTGAAAATTATTATTTTTTTTTTTTTAATATTTTCTGTATAGAAATATAAAAATTTATTTTTATTAAATGTGTTTACTGTTATTATTACATGTAAACATAGATAATATAATAATGATGATACTAAAAGCCCATTGTAAAGAAATATATAGTACTAAAAGGAAGTATAAAAAAAATATGAATATAAATGAAATAAAAAATGAAATAATTAAAAAATATTTATTTTACTAGTGCAATATTTGTTTCTCCACTCTTTCACTTAGCTTTTGCAAATCGACTATAATCGGAGAATAGCAGAATATAATTTAATTATTCTGCAAACTCATGAATAAAACAAGCAATATCTGTTATATATTCGCAAGAATATTATTTTAAAATCAAAGCTAATTTTTTCTCATAATTTCAACAGTTCATTTTTGAATACATGGATGCACACATAATGTATTTTTTTAATACATTGGTTTGCACTACTTTGGCCATAATAAAATAAATATATTAAATCTCACGGTCCGGAAAAATATTCGAGCCGGGCCGCAGGTTGGCCATCCCTGGTCTACGTCTTGCTTTAAATGGGTTAAAATCCATATAATGTAAAAGACCAATAAGGAAGAATCAATAAAAAAGTAATTAACATTATACATATTTTATTACATTATAAAAACACTACATACATACATTATAAAAATTTTGCACTTATTATTATATCAGTAATTCACCAAGTAGTGTAAATTTATTATATAATACTGTTTACATTCTGAAGTACATAGAAATTCCCCCAAAACAGCAAACGAGCGTTTCTCAAACCACACAAGGACTTTGTATTGCTCTGAAATAGCACTCTTGCGAAATATTCAGATAGAAATTTTGGTGGACAAAATAGATGCTTTTTCCCACAAACACAAAGAAAAAAATTCCGAAAACTGCAAAAAAAAAAAAAGACGAGGATAGCTATATTTTGAAGCTTTCGGCCAAAAGGAACATCCCAAAGATTTATTGCGTCTTCCATTTGTCTTCGCAGGGACCCACTTTTAGAATTTTTTTTTAATATTTTTATTCCGTTATTTTACTTTTCTGGGTGGCATTCTCCAGGCACAAAGCCACTAATGTAGTAATCGATATAAACTATCGGCAAAATGAAAGACTTAATGAGCACGGAGGGGGTGCCAAGTACAGGGGAGGAGGGAAGTACAGGGGGTGCGAAGTACAGGGGGTGGGAAGGGGGAGCACAGCAAAAGAAAACGAGGGTTGGAGAGAGAAAAACCACAAAAATCACAAGTGAGATAAAAATATATAGAGGGGGAAATAAAATAAAAGTGCTTTTTCAAAACTAGTAACCCCTCTTCCATTGTTCAAAAATGCTCTTTGAACCAAGCGATTGCACAAAGGAAGAGAAAAAAGCATACTTACTATGTGTGGGTGTTTTTTTTTATTTTATTATTATTCTGTTTTTTGAATGATTGCGAGAAAGCGTTTTAGACAAATAGATGCAAATTACCTTCAATTTTTTCCCTCACCCCAAACTAGATAATTTTGAAAAAAAAAAAAATTAAAACGGATAGGAAAAACAAATTTTTCGCAGTTTCGTGAAAAATTACAGCTTAGAATCTTTTTGTATCTTTTTTTTTTTTTTTTTTTATGTTAGCGTCAGATATTTCTACGTGGTACATATTAATATCATCTGCATGAATCTTTACACAATGCAACTATTATGCTGAAATACACAATGTAAAATTTTCCAAAATTTGATGTATTTCAATGGTTTACTTTATTTTTTAAACAGATTGGAAATTGATTTTTACATAGTTTCGTTAAAAAATATTGTTCAGAAAATCTAATTTTAATTCTTCAATTTGCATTCTGTAATTTTGCATTCGCTAATTGTAATTTTGCATTCTTCTATTTGAATATCATAGATTTTTACAGCACACATTATTTTAATATAATCTCTATAAAACTTTATGCTAATTTTTATATATAATTGTTTTTTTTAGTCCTTCCTAAAATTATTCACGCTTTTTGCTTTTGCAACTTGAAATTAATCCATAAAAGGTATCATCTGAAAAAATCAATTTAAAGGTATATTGTGTAATTTCACCCCAGTAAATAAAATTTATATTATAAATTTAATAAGGATATTTAAGTGAGATTAAACATACATATCTCATGAAAATTAAAAAAAGTATTTTTTACAATTATTACAAACAATGATATCTTTTAAGGGTTAAATTTTAGAAATCTTTTAAATAATAGTCACAAAAGATTTTTATAAAAAAATTTTGCAAGCCTATTCATTAATTTCCAATGAAATTTTCGTCCAAAAATAATAATATTAACAGTCGAAATCAAAATTAAAGTCGAAGTTAAAACTGCAATTTAATGAGAAGAGTGTTTATATACAATATAGACATGTTTTTTTTATTCAAAATATAAAATAAGTGATCATTAAAATATTTCATTGTTCTATATCTAATATTTTTTTTTCTTTCTTTCTAATGCAGCTGGCACACACTTAGACAGCTTGGTCTTGGATGCCTTAAGGCAAGCGCTGCACAGACGTACTCACTTTGCATTACCCAGGGAATGCGTGTAACTTGAAGATAAGCCACGGACGCGGAGTAACAATGCCCCCGTAACGCTCTACGATCCTATTAAACCGGGACCTACAGTTTAAAGTGGATTCCGAACCACTACAAATATCCATAGCACCGCCGGGACTCGAACCCGAAACCTGTCTATATCTAATATTCATGCTTAGATATTTCGTTGTTGTTGAACATCGGTGGCCCTCATGTTTCGCTTATGTATGCCACAAATGATCCATCTGTGGGTGATGAAGGAAGGAAATTATCTTTAGAGAAGATTTTATAAATAATTTCTCTTCGTATAAGAGAAATCCTGGAAAACTCCAACCAGATTCCCAATCGCCATCGAATCTATTTTTTTTCTGAAAGCATTAATAGCAATGATTTTCTTGATGTTAGAAAACATTAAAATCACATATAAATATTTATTTCTCTTTATAAATTTCGATTTATTACCAACCAATTTATTTTCATGTCATCTTTTTTATTAATTCTTCCGTCTGTAATCTTTTTTTTTTTTTTATACATTTTCTTGCTGTACTCATTTATTTGTACTACAACCGAATTCTCTTATTTAATATAATTATTTCATCTCATCATATACATTGAACTGCAGTTTTTGTTGTGTTTTAAAATTAAGAAGGATTTATTATATATTTGTCAACACTTTTGTTTATTTTTAATAATTTTCTATAATATTTCATCTAGATTTTAACTTCTAATAATACAAGGAATTTAATGTCACAGTGGATAAATTTTTATCCGGTTATTTTTTCTATAAAAGAACACTTTTTTTACTGTTAACAAAAGTAAAATTTCATTTTGGATTTCAAATATGAATGTATATCCCTGGTGAGAAAATAAATAGAAGGCGCTAGAAAATAAAATAAAATATTAAGAAATTCTCACTAAAAATTTACAATACATCATGGAGAAAGATGAATTTTCATTTAGGGTGGAAAAAAAAACTGACAAAAATCCATGGATGAAAAATATTTCTGTTTTTATTTTCTGAAAAGGGGGATATTGAATATCTATGAGCTGAAATCAATCAAAAATTCTAGTTCCGATTTTATTTTTGCTACATGTTTAGTTGAAAATGTCATGGCTTCGTTTCTGATGTTGTTTCAATCATCTTCGTTTGATTGTTGTTGTTGGTAAAAAGTATTCTCAAACAAATGCAACAAAGAAAAGTTTATTATTAGCTAAAAGCTATTTTAAGAAATGAATACTTTTACGTCATTAATATATATTTCAGAAATAGATTTAAGAGTAGAGTTGTTGTTGTTTCTTATCCCACTTGGCTGGCCAAGCCCACGAGCCCATACGTGCTCGTGATTGAAGGGGAAGGAAGCAGCTTCTGTTGTGATGGAGCACCCGTAGGTAGAAGCCTGACTTTTGCTCTGTGACGCTCTTACAGTCATAGGAGACCGGGACCTACGGCTTAAAGTGGATTCCGAACCACTACAAACATCCATGGCACCGCCGGGATTCGAACCCGAAACCTGTGGCACCGAGCGCTAGAGACACTCGGCCATTCAGGTCCCCAATTTGCCAACGGCACGCGGTGTTCCCAGGTGGTCACCCACCCAAGTACTGACCGCGCCCAATCAAGCTTGACTTCGGTGATCTAACGAGAACCGGTATATTAAGAGTAGAGTAGATTAGATATGAGTGGGAGTAGTAGGAGTAGAGTAGATAGGAGTAAATTTTTGTTTTGGAACGCCGATATTTTGATATCTAGCAGCAGATAAATAGTATATTAAGTGTTAATTAGTGCGCAAAGCGAGCAACCTGTTAAACAGTACCGACACTGCACAACAAAAAAGAACCTGCCTATCAGCTGATGGTTGAAGAATGTGCATGCCTATCAGCAGAATCTTCTTTAACCATCTCCAAAATATCCACACTGGCTTTAGCGAGTTTCGAACTAAGCACCCAGATTTCGAAACTCATCCAGCTAATCTGCCAATCCATTCCAACCCTTACCTATAGCACTGAAAAAAAACCCAATTCATATTTATTTATTTCAATCTGTACTTTTTCCACTCCAACAAAAGCATTCAAATCAATTTACTACATTTAAAACTATAATAAAGTTATAAATCATGATAAATCTAAAAATAATTAATAATGATTAATCATGATAAATCTGTTAAATGGTAACCACATTACAACACAAAAAAGATAGAATTGAAAAGAAATTGAACCCAAGAGGACCTCTTCACTATATAGATTCATCAACCTTCTCCAAAATAGCCACATTAGCTTTTGATTCGGCTTTGGCTGGGGAGTTTCGAACCTAGCACCCACAATTCAACTGGCTATCTTCCAGGTTATTCTACCTCTCACCTATGTTACTGAAAAAAAAATACTTATTTTATTATGCGACTCATAATTATTATGCGACTTTCGCCTAAACTAATAATTTTGAAAAAGGTCAACGACTTGAAGTAACATTTTTTAATTAAACGACTTCGCAATATTTCAGAACATTTAAAGTTATATTTTCCCTTTTCACTAACAAATTAAAAATCATTTTTATTGCATTTATTAAACACAGGGCATAATTCTCCATTTTATTCTTCAATTATCCCATTTTTTTCTCATTTTATTTTCATTCCGTTTTCGCTGAAAATCTGCATCGAAAAGTACGAATGGAATATTCGAATTAAGGCAAGAGACCGCGGTTTTCATTAAAATAAATTTTTTGATCATAATGAAAGGCTTTTCTTGGGAGGAATTTTTAAAGATAATATCGATGTTTTGCTTGGTAAACTATGTTATTTTTTTCAGATCAAAACAAGAAAAAAGAATGTTTTAAGTTTCTTTTTATGCAAGTGTTAAAAATGAAAATAAAAACGAATCGATATTCTTTGTCGTGAGGATGAAATTGGAAACTTAAAAGAATTCTTCTCGAAATGGCGGACTTCCTAATTGAATGCCTTGTATCGATTTCATTTATTATGTACCTACACGTTTTGTTTTCTCTCTTCGTTTTTGTAGCCGTTGGAAGAAATGCGATACGAAAAATGTGCTGTTCTTTTTCACTTGATAAATATTCCAAGTACATTACGCAAATATTGTTTTACAGCTTTTCGAATTCCTTTAAAAATTCCGAGTGAAGTTTTCAATTTTTCAAAGGATTCGTTTTTATTCGTTATTGAACTTAAATTTAATATATTGTATTTAGTTTTTAAGATCTCTTCGTAAAATATAATTACATAGTTGAATACGCACACAAAGTAATGAAAAATTTGAAACGGGTAACTCCTCAATTGATCATTGTGATAAAAAATAATCTTTCCTTTACATTTGCATTCGGATGCATATTATTTAAAGCTGACACAAAAATTATTTTTTTTTACTGATTTCATATTGAAATTATGAAAAAACCCCTTTATTAAAACAGAGTGATATTTAAATTTGCTTATTCATCCTCTCATGCAATTATCTTCCATGATTAATGTAGTTTTTTTAAATCATCATACTTTTTACACTGTACTATATTCTACTTTATATTCATAAATGAAGTTTTTACATACTTTATTTTTTCGATTATATTATTAAAAAATTTCAAAAAAATTCATATATTAGAAAGAAAAACTGACTACGATCAAATAAATAAAATAATCATTTCTTTTAAAATGTTTTTTAATATCTTCCACTAAAAAATGACCCTTAAGAAATAAATAGTTGATAAAATAACTTCTCCATACTTTATTCAATTTCTGAGAATCAAAAAACTTATGCTATTATCGAATAGAAATAAAAAAAATTAATGACACTTTTTTCATAGAAAATTCTGTCAGTTAGGTTAGAAAACTATCATCACTTCGATAATTACTTTTCGAATGCAGCAATGCATAATTTAATTAAAAAAAAAAAAAACCTTAAAATTAAAACTGATTACTTTGAGATATTTCCTCTGCAATTAAAAATTCCTATACTAATTTTAATTAGACTATATAATATGTATCAATTTATAAATATATCTAAACTATTCAGAAAGGTCTTTTATTCACAAAGAAGTTTTCTATGAAAATTTTCTCTAGATGTTTCAATTTCTCTAATAAGCATTCAAAGATGTACGTTCTTTAAATCAAAATAGAAAAACTATTTTACAATTTTTTATTTTCGCTTACAAATTACAGTGTAACCAGCGAAAGTTAATGATTGGTAAGACCTTTATTTTTCGCTTAACAGCATGCAAATAAAGTTTCTTTATCTAAAACATTGTTGTTATTCTTTATATCCCAGACTTTTAACAAACTAAATGTACTTAACTTTAAAAAAAAAATCAAATCTATAACTTCTCTCATTATTAAGTGCTTTTCGCCAAAGCAAATAATTTTCAAAAAGGTTAGAAACGCATGAAGTAACATATTTTAATTAAATGACTTCGTAAAATTTCAGAGCATTTAAAGTTATTTTTTTCCTTTTCACCAACAAATTAAAAATCCTTTTTATTATTACATTTATTAAATATATGGCATAATTCTCCCTTTTATTCTTCAATTATCCCATTTGTTTCCGCCTTTTATTTTTTATCATAGACTTTTAACATACTAAACGTGCTTACCTTTTTTTTAAAAAAAATCTCTAAATTCTGATAACTATTATATGCCTTTTTCATAAGCTAATAATTTTGAAAAAGGTTAGCAGTTGGGGTGAAATTTTTTTAATTAAACGACTTCGCAAAATTTCAGAACATTTAAAGCAATCTTTTTTCCTTTTCACCAACAAATTAAAATTCCTTTTTATTGCATTTATTAAACGGCATAATTCTCTTTTTATTCTTCAATTATCCCTTCTGTTATTTTAATGTTATATCCCTTCTGTTATTCTGTTTTTATTTTCCCTCCGATAGTGTTGAAAGTTTGAATCGAAAAGTACGAATGGAATATTCGAATTAAGGCAAGAGACTGCGGTTTTCATTAAAATAAATTTTGTTATCAAAGTGGAAGGATTTTCTTGACAGGAATTTTTAAGGATAATATCGATATTTTACATGGTAAACTGTGTTATTTGTCCTTTTCAGACCAAAACATGAAAGTAAAATGTTTTTTTATGCAAGTGTTAAAAATGAAAATAAAAACGAATCGATATTCTGTCTCGTGAGGATGAAATTGGAAACTTAAAAGAATTCTTCGCGAAATGGAGGACTTCATAATTGAATGCCTTGTATCGATTTCATTTATTATGTACCGACACGTTTTGTTTTCTCTCGTCGTTTTTGTAGCATCCGTCGTTGTAAAGAATTGTGATACGAAAAATTTGCTGTTCTTTTTTACACGATAAATAATCCAAGTACATTACACAAACACTGTTTTACAGATTTTCTAATTCATTTAAAAACTACGAGAGAAGTTTTCAATTTTTCAGACGATTCGCTTTTATTCGTTATTGAACTTAAATTTAATATTGCGTTATACACTGAAGTGACAAAAGTCATGGGATAGCAATATGCAAATTTTCAGATGGCAGTAGCATCACGTAGAACAGGTATAAATGCGCAGTGCTTTCGCAGAGCTTTCATTTCTGTTCAAGTTAGTCATGTGAAGAGGTTTTGACGTGATGATGATCGCAAGACGGCAATTAACAGACTTTGAACGCGGAATGTTAGTTGGAGCTAGACGCATGGGTCATGCCATTTCGGAAATCGTTAGGGAATTCAACATTCCCAGATCCACAGTGTCAAGAGTGCGCCGAGAGTATGAAATTTCAGGCATAACATCCCACCATGGACAGCTCAGTGGTCGACCGCCTGCACTTAAAGAGCGAGACCGGCGACGTCTGCAAAGAGTCGTAAATTCTAACAGACAAGCAACACTGCGTCAAATAACCGCAGAAATCAATGTGGGACGTACAAGGGACTTGTCTGTTAGAACTGTGCGGAGAAATTTGGCTTTCTTGGGCTATTCCAGCAGAAGACCGACTCGAGTGCCTTTACTGACAGAACGACATCGCTTGCAGCGACTCTCGTGGGCACGTGAGCATATCGGTTGGTCCCTAGATGAATGGAAAACCGTGGCCTGGTTCGATGAGTCACGATTTCAGTTGGTAAGAGCTGATGGTATTGTTCGAGTGTGGCGCAGACCCCACGAAGCCATGGCCCCAAACTGTCAGCAAGGCACTGTTCAAGCTGGTGGTGGCTCCGTAATGGTGTGGGCTGTTTTTCATGGCATGGACTTGATCCTCTGGTGCGACTGGACCGAACATTGACTGGAAATGCTTATGTTCAGCTACTTGGAGGTCACTTGCAGCCATTCATGGACTTCATGTACCCAAACAACGATGGGATTTTTATGGATGACAATGCGCCATGTCACCGGGCCACAACTGTTCGCGATTGGTTTGAAGAAAATTCTGGACAATTGCAACGAATGATCTGGCCACCTAGATCGCCCGACATGAATCCCATTGAGCATTTATGGGACATCGTCGAGAGGTCTGTTCGTGCCCAAAATCTTTCACTATCAACGCTTTCACAATTATGGACGTCTATCGAGACAGCATGGCTCAATATTTCTGCAGAAGACTTCCAACGACTTGTTGAGTCCATGCCACGTCGAGTTGCTGCACTTCACCGGGCGAAAGGAGGGCCGACACGATATTAAGAGGTATCCCATGACTTTTGTCGCTTCAGTGTAT